GAAAATTACCTTTTTCGTCGACTGATGGCCGCCACCTGACTTGCGGAGTAAAAGGAGGCGATGGTTTCTGAAACTCAAATTCACTATATGTTCTTAGTTAGGCGCCTGTGGGAAGCTGCCGTTCTTAGAGAGAAACGTGGACTGCGAATAATTCATCTACTCTCTGCAGTACTCATTTTATTACGGATAGTTAATACTTAGATTTATAGTAACATAGTAAACATTTCATATCATACTAATGGATGTGTAAGCATACATCATAAAGATTTTTGACAAAACTTATAAAGAATGTATCAGCGGTGTTTGGGCTCACCAGCGGCCGAGCGGTAACGTCGCTGAACACTGGTAGTTCGTTCGGATTCCCTGGAATGGGGCTGGCTGCATGGGTTTTTTCGTGGTTTTCCCGTGTGTAACGTGTATACGAGCCAGGTTCCCTTAAAAAGTCCTCCACGAAGGCATCCCTCCCTTAAGGGAGATAGCCCTCGAGTGCTTTGCCGTAATCTAATAAACCAAACCAAACCAAAACTAATCAGCGGTGTTTGAAGATGCTTTGGCGACGGTTTTCGCCATCACAGACACTAATGATTCATTATGTTTTAAGAATTCACGTACTGTTTTATGATCTTTAGATACAATTTTTTTTTAGTTTTTAAGCATATAGGAATTTTTTAAATATATTAAAATCTTTACATTCATGTGATCACTTTTCAGAGAAAATATTATTTGCTGATGCTTTTTTTTTTTCGTGTTATATTGGTTTATTTTTGGAATTCAAGTGATTTTCAGCACACAAATTGAAATTTACTGAGCATTTGTTTAATATATTTTAACTGTAATTTTTATTCTTAGTTTGCACATAGTATTGTTTACGAAAATTGCAATTTTAAGAGAGTACATAGAAAAGTATTAGTATATGAAGTATCAAAATAGAAGTTTATGCTATTTTTTATTGTTTCCAATACTATACATACTTTTGTCAGGTAAACCATCTAATGATCCTAATCATCCACATTATGTGCCTTCAATTAAGCTCAAAGTTCAGGACAGAAAAACAGAAAAAGTTGCTCGTTTTCAGTTAACAGAACGTAAAAAATAATTCATCAATCACTTGTTACAGGAAATGAAAGTAAGTAAATAAAGGTTGAATTCAAAACATGGTTATATTCAGTCTAATGTTTTAAATTAGAGTTTCTTAAAACTCTCTGGACCTTCAGCAGTGGTTCACCAAAAATTTTAGCAGTTTTGATATTTCTTTAACTTATTATATTTTACAATTACCAAATATCTAGTTTTGTTTCTTACATTTTATGTTACACAGCTTGACACAGAATAATTTTTAGTTCGCAGCCAGGGAGAGATTAAGACCTTCCCAGATGCCCAAATCTCTTAAGAGACTTTGGTGCCCTCACTATGTTTATGCCAGTTTTTTTTTTTTTTAAATTCCATCTTCCGTGTAACACCTAATCAGTGCAGTACATTCTATAAATGTTACTCATTTCTTTTGCCTCAGTTTTGGTTTAGCTGCACCATACATTCCATTGTGAAACAGGCAATATAAAATTTTTTTGGCATCCCTTTCATCACTACCTTAGGGACCATTTTGGTGGTGTTCCCCAGTGGCACCCCCTATTTCCACTTATTATTATTTTTAATATTCAATATATTGTGCCCTTTAGTCTTTAATTTTCTTTATACTTTTGCAATACATAATCCAAGCCTAATTTCAGTAGCATCTCCACTTTATGGAAAGGTACAAGTCTATGTTTGGGAACTGCGCGCTTCACGTTCCAGCGGATGGTGTTTGGCTGTTGTGCGCATGCGCACACAGAAAACAGCATGCGAGCCAGCGAGAGAAAAGAGCACTGTTGCTCTCGCAGTGCCGAAATTCTGGGGTGTTGTTGGAAACGTGATTTCTTTTTACTCCGTGCATGTGGTATTCCTCCACTAGATGGAACTTCATCATACGGACCATAAACAGAGCTCATGAAAATTTGCAACCTTTAAAAAATTGCCTTACTGAATTAATCAACACAAATCAGATCAAACATGCAAAACACAGGATTTAAAATATCTAATGATTATAATTCAAGTTTGGTTAAGCTTTTTTATCAATGCCATTTGAAAATAACACTAATGCAATCCCTAAATTTAAAGTTAACAATATATAACAATTTTCAAAACTGTTATTTTAGAATTAAGAACTCAAGTACTGTGAGAACTTTTTAAAAACACTGAGGCAGAACAGAACATTGACTTTATCTATGTATTGATATATCACCGAATTCTTCCATAAACACTTAGCAGCTGCTAAATTGTTTAAAAAAATGCCGCTAGTTTGGAATGACATTCTAAGAATAAAGAAGAAACATACCGACCACTGAGCATATCCATGATTGACAAAGAAAATTGAAACTGAACTAAGTATCTTGCAATTATTGACTACTGAAATTTATCCTCGAAATATCTAGATGTGTTCTTAGTGAATTACATCTGATATAAATTCTAGTTCCATAATACATCAGAGGCAGAAGGCCTTTTCAGCATTGAAAAATGAAAATTTTTCTAAGAAGCACTAGGAAGCGAAAGATAACGCTGCATTGTTCAATAAAAAAATTTCCTCGTTGTCATCCAGAGATCAGGAGAAATTTGATCTTTTTCGGCGCAAATTAAAACAAGAATGGATTTCCTTTTAATCAATAGACAAAATTGAATTGTAACAATTTTGTTACGTATTTTTAATTTTTTTTTGTAATTTCATGAAGTTCAAATAATTTTCTTTTATACATGTTTGTTTCCTTTTAACAATTTAAAACAAAGGTTTATTTTTTTTTTTGAATAGCACCCCCAGTAAGTTTAGCCACGAGCCGCACTGGTGTTCCCTCCTTATCATGCTGAGCATAAGTCGTTGAACACTGTCGTTCGTTCCGAGTTTCGAATCCCACGGACGGCTGCTGCATGGGTTTTCGTGGTTTTCCCCATGGTAACGTATATACGAGCCAGTTTCCCTTAGAAAGTCCTCCACAAAGGCATCTCTCCCCTTAGGCAGATAGCCCTAGTGTGCTTTACCATAATTAAATAAACCCATAAACCCTCTCCTTGATGCTCTAAGCATGTGTTTATAGTATTGGTTACTCCAGCCCCTTGTGCAGTGTACAAATGTAAAAATGCGAGTTTTTCAATATAGTTTCAGGCTGCAATGAAATTATTAGATGCATATTATCATATAATTAATGTGATTTATATATATACCTCATTTATGATTTTAGTAAAAGTTTTCTCCTGTATGGTATTAACAACAAATGCATCCATTTATATTACAATCACTATTTTATTTTCTTCTTCATTGGTGCTTTTATGATGTAATCATATTTCATATTTCCATACAGGTAAATTTAAGTCATTTATCAAACACGTAACTCTATACCTAATCAGACATATAACTATACTTCTTTACTTAAATCAGAAGAAAACTAATTTGGTATTGGAAAAAAACCAAATAACTTCAGTTTATACAACGATAAAATATTTTGAAATTTCTTAGTACCTTAACAAATATTTACCAGAAAAAATAAAATACACTACTAGCCATTAAAATTGCTATACCATGAGGTTGTTATACTAAAAAAGTCAAACTGGCATGAAAGATACTGCTAGGATATGCAAATGATTAGCATTCCAGCATATGCACACAAAACAGATACGAGTAATGTCACCTATATTATGTGTAATTGAGAAGATTGCACAGCAGGTTTCTCATTTAGAAATTGCATTTGAATATTGGTTGTTATTACCTCATGTAAGAAGGAGGAACTCCTACATAACATGTCTGAATTTCATAGCAGAAGGGTTTATAGCCTATGGAGACTGTAATGTATCGTTCCTCAGTACTGCTGCTTGTGTTGGGATCCTCTGACTACCAGGTGAATGTATGGGTCCAGAAGGGCCATACTGAGTGCCATGCAGCAAGATTTTAGAAGCTCTTGACCATTAACACCTGACAGAATGGACACATTGTCCTCTCGGTCTTGTGGGACCGTACAGACACCAGTATGTATCCTGAGTGAGCCACTTGGTTGTGCACAGGATGCCAGGTACTGCATGGATAATGCAATGATGTCTGCAGCATCACAGACCTTTAGCACAATAACCACTGTTGTGGCTTCTCATGGTGGTGCAGCAGAGACAGATGCATCTGCAGTGGTGTGATAAATAAAGACACTGGACACAACAATGACACTTTTTTCAAATGTATCCCAATTCTGCCTTCAGCATCATGATGGGCATACACATGTCTGGAGACACCAAAGAATATTGACCATCACAGCCTAAATTCATCATCATATGGGCCCAGCATTTGGCAGGCTGGTATGAAATGCTATTGGGTATACATTCCAGTCACCCCTTATTTGCATAGCAAGTAATGTAGACAGTCACTGTTACATTTTTGATGTGTTAAGGCCTGTGGCTGTGCCCTATCTTCGAGGCCTCCGAGACCCTACCTTTTAACAAAGTAATGCATGATTGCATGCTGTCCACACCCTTCTATAAATGTAATGGGGTTTGACTGTTCCCTTGGCCAGCAAGTTATCCAGATCTCTCACCCATTCAGAATATCAGATTGTGACTTGCTGGAAGATTGGGATGCCACCAGCTGCCAGCCACTAAGATTAATGAACTCTGGCATAGAGTTGAAGTCGTATGCAATTCCATTATCTGTCATCCAAGCTCAGTTCAACTCGATGCTCAGTTGGATTTCAGCCACTGTTGATGGCAACGGTGACAGTTCTGTGTACTGAATTATGCATACTGTACATCCCAAACTGCCTGCAAATTTAATTACGTCTTCTGCCCATTATACTGTATATGTAAAATAAATAAAATTCTACTATTTGCTTTTTTACCAGGTGCAGCAATTTTAATGACGAATAGCAAACAAATATTCTCAACAAAAATATTTTTATGTATAGGTGGAATTAAAAAAAAAAGATAAAACAACAGAATAAAACAGATGACTTTTATTAACATTTTCATTACACATTTCATGATAATATATGCAAATGAATTTTAAATATTAATGTGATACCTAGAATTGTTTATACAGAAGCTATTTACTAACTTGTCTGGCATCTTGTCACAAAAAGCTAACACATTTTATATATGTCTAAATAAAAAATACACTATGGATAAATAAATATAGTAAATCACTATTAAACTCTGACCAACCTAAAAGTCTGTTATGGGCATTTGCGTATTAAAAATGTGCGTTAAATGATAAATTTAATCCATAGAAGTTAACAGCCAGTCGGTGGCAGATATAGGAAGAATAATGGAGTCAATGTCTTCCACTTTTCTATACGAATATGTGCAATTACACTTTAAAACAATTCTTCTATAAGTAATTAGTATATATTCTTGCATATTTAAACTAATAAATCCTTTACATGATATCTGTGGTTGTCAATATTTACTTACATTTTCCGAAAACATGCAGTTTTTTCGTTATTTTCCTATATATTTGATCAATATATTAAAATTATTAGAACATACAACTCTATCAACTGATATTTGATGAACTTATACAGGGTGTGTCGAAACTCTGTGCACAAACTTTGAGGGGGAGATGGAGAACATTGGTATGAATTATATTCACATTGAAAAGCAGGAATGAAAATGAATAGGTGGTACTATAATGCCAGTGCTACAGCTTTGCATCTTGGGGGCTTTGTAAGGAGAACTGCATCGTTGTATGAATATTGAGCGGGATACTTCAGACTTCAAGCCCAATGAATGATTTCTGACCTCACAGCAAGAAATGGGCACTGGACACAACAGCAAGAACAGTAAGAACTGCCAACACTGCTACTAATAATCACAAAATTCCAGGTAACTTTGAAAATTCTCAGTAATATTTGGCACATGGCTTTGCCACTGAAAGGAATTTTGAATAGCTTCTGCAAAACCATATTCAGTGTCTATCAGTTGCTTATTATTAAATTTTGTTTAACAAAGTGTTACACATTGCTTTTATGTATTTTGTTCTTGCTGCATTTTCACTTTTGTCACTTGTGAGTGGCATATCCAGTCATGCTTTGTGAATATGGCTCAGATTGATGTTGTCTATCTCTCCTCTAAATTTGAACTATTAGATTAAAAACACCTTTAATGCATAATAAACTGAACTGTGCAACTCAGAAAAACTTGTAAAATGTAATAATATTTATAATTTTCTCAAAATTTGTATACAACTATTTTCATTATTAAATTTGAAAAACCCAGTTAAAAAAAAAGAAGACTTAAAATTTAAAAATCTTCCATTTTTAGTTTACAGCTAATTTCTATAAAGTTAGTCAGACACAAATACGTGAATAATTTTTACTTTATTAAGATAAAAGGTGTTAAAATGGCACACAGAATTAGATTCCATTATTTAACAGTATTGCAAACAGAAACTCTGTTTCTTGGCTACAATGGAAGGAAAGGAAAGTCTAACAAAGTGCTCAGTAAAGTTACACATGCATAAGATTAGACTATGTACAAAGGCTCAAAACTTTACAATCCAAACATACAATATATGTACAGACTAATTACACTGCTGGGGACACAAGATGGTTTACATAATTCTTTACATTGAGTCCATTGCATCATTAAGATATTATATTTTTTATGGGAACTATGCCATGCACTGCACAGCAATCATAGAATCTGCAGAAAAAATGCAAAGCATTTTGTGAAAAATGAAATTATTTGCTCTTGCCAAATCTGTGTCAGTGCTTCTGTGAATAAAATTGTTTACAACTCAAAAGTCTCTTGCACAAGCTCCATATAAAATGTTTGATCCTACAAACCTTAATAAAAATTAATTAAAAATAATATTTAATATCCAGTCAGATCTAACAAGTGAAGCATGGGATTTCACAATAAGCATAAAATCTATCTGGCAGTTCAGGGCAATGTAACAACAGTAAACTCTCCAGTATTTATTTGTACAATATATATCATGAACAGATCACTATATGTCAACAATACTGAAAGGTGACATATGCAATTACGAAAAATATATAATTAAGCAATAATAAAACCAAGCTTTTTAATGTAGATTATTTATATTCAATTAACCAAAATTTACTGCTACATTCAGTGTCTGATAGGACACATATATAATATTTTGATAACCATAACAAATGGTAAAGGATGAAAGAAGAATTTGCAAAACAACTTTGAAAGCCAAAATACAAAATTTTAATAACATTATTTTTAGTATATGCATTTTGTTTTCAAACTGCATATGCCACAGTACTTCAGTATCTTTTTTTTTTTACTTAAATATATTCTACATACACAGCTCCATAACATCAGAGCTAGTCTTTAAAGGAACATATAAGCAAAAATATGTACAAATAACTAACAAGCACTTTGTCCTATGTCCAATAATCACACACACATCAGTTGCACAAATACTGCCAGTCCACAACTGTTCTAGGCTAAGATAATTCTGGAATGATTTTCTTAAGATTAAGATCAATAAAATGTTCAAACATGTCATGATCTGCAACAGCTGAAAGGTCTAGGGATTAAAAGTACAACCACGTCCAAATACACATTTTGATAATTCTCTAAACAAGAATAATAAGTAAAAAACCAATGACTAAAACTTTTGAAGAGTTTAAAAATGCAGCAAAAGCAGGATTGCATGCATCACTTATGATTAATCTGATTTGTCTGGAGGGACTTCGTTCTAAATTTAAGGTGATCACCAATACTATAACGATGTGGATCAGCATACACTAAGGAGCAGTAAACCCAGTAAAGATTAAACCTGCACAGGCTGATCTACAAAAATGAAACTGAACATAATAAATGCAGCACATAGCAGACAACAGAGTGCTGGATTAATTACAGACTAGTTTAAACCCGTGACCATAGTTCTCTAAACCACAGCCTTCTGTTTTTGGAAAGAGGCTACGGAAAAATCTGAACAGGAACAGATACCGTTTTAATTCCGTCCCCATAATTATTGTTGCTGAGACACATTTTGTGAAATTACTATTTTTTCCATCAGCACAGCCTATAATATTGTGCATGCTGAACTACAGCAACCACTGCTTCTTTCCTTGCTTTTATGCCGCTGATCTGTAAAAGGAAACACCATTACTCATTGTGAAATCACAAAACAAAATTTAAAAGAACAGAATGCATTACTTAAACTGACATAGAAAATTATATATATATATAAGTTATATATCTCATTTTTAAAGACTATTCACTAACTTTTGAATGTTATTTGAATTTTAAATGATTAAACACCTAAAGAAAACCTTACAATATTTTTCAACTATTTCTTACATGAACAGTTTACAAATATTACACACTTAAAATAACTACTACAAGAATTGTTCTGAAAATTGGTGGATTGAAATTATCATTTGGAGTATGAGGCAATTTAATGCGAGATTCCTTTTCAAAACAGCAGCTTCCACCATTTCTATATACTATTTCTAAAGATGCCATAGCCTGTCAGACCCAGGTTGCAGATTATATGTTGACAACTGTTGTTAAAACAGCAAATGCAGCAGCTTTTTATTTTTTGGTCTACACCAAACTTCGATCCTCTTAACTCAGATATGGGCTGTATAGCAAAAAACTAAAGGGGTTCTCAGCCAGGGAGGAATTTCATAGTTTAAGGAAGTGGAACGAGGTCAGCTTTTATTGAATTGTTAAGTATTCAGCTTTAGTTTATGACAACATTTTCTATACGTTTTGCCGTTTAATTTATAAAACACATTACAAATAATTTTTATGTAAATACAGAGTTGCCAACTCTCCCGATTTAGGCAGGAGACTCCCGATTTTCGACCGCTCTCCCGCCAACCCGATTACAATATATTTCTCCCGACTTTTTTATTCTAAATTTCTCCGATTGTATGGATTTGCTAAACTTTTTATGAACAAAAAATGGATTTTGGAGTCTGAAGCCATGAATTTCTCTGATTATATCTAAAACAAACCTTGTGAATAGATAACTTTGCTTTGTGAGTGAGAGCATTACTATCCAGAACTTGTTTCATTCCATGGGCATCGTCTCCATGCTTGTCACCTGCAATATTAACCAATGAGGACAAAGCAGCTGTTATTTGGATGTCTTAGTTACTTCGGTCATGTTTGATACAATGCTTCGGAAAATAGTTTTAGAAATTATCATCTTTTCTATGTCCTGCGAAAAAGGAATACTCTGTACGTTTCAAAAATCGTATGCAGTTGACTTTCCTTCCATATTTCCTCAAGAAATGTAATAATTGCGATGTTACGCTGTTATTGCGATTTTTTCGATTTCGCTGATGGAAGGGCGGATATTCTCAAACATACGATAAAAAAAACAAGGACAAAATGATTTGTTTTGAAAAAAACGAAAAATTTAATTTTTATTGGGAGCATAACAAAAGTTATTGATCAGAATCTGTCTCTGCCTTTTATGAGCACAACTCATGAATGCATCGGATCACGCTATAGCTTTATTAGAAAAATGTTTCCCTATAGTGAAAATCGCTAAGAAATATCAGTCAAGAACCAAAACGGTGCAATTGTAAAGAAATGGTTGAAAATATCTTCATTATAATGCTTAAACACTCCGTTCTGCCTCTCTACGGATGAAGCATAAATGATTCAAAACTGTATCCAATTATTTTTCTTTTTAATCCGAGTTTTCAGAAAATGATGCAGTTTACTTTTGTCCCCACTTTGAGGACATTTGACAGGCTTTACTATTCACAGCTAATTATTACAACTTTAAAAGAAAATGTAGTCCCTCTGATATTGCCAGCACTTGGGCCGATAATGCACCAGTATTGTAGGCTTGAGACTTTGTTTGCGGCATCTGGGAAAAAAATTAGATTTGCAGATAAGAGGTGCACCTGTCCGTCTAAATTGCAGCTGAAAAAAGGGCCCTTCTATACAATAAATGTGGATAACTATGTTATTTACTATTCTTGAAAGGATTCTAAAAAAAAGAAAAATTGAACATTTCCAACAGCTGATAACAGCAGTTACAATTAGAAAATTTGGATTAAGTTATAAATCAGCTAGGACTGACACCAGTGGGTTAATTGGAAAACTGAAGATGATGAATTTTAAATATAGTAAACTGTCAATTATGTTGCATCTTGACTCCCCATATTATGCAGATGTGAGAGATTTTCAGTGTGTTGCGGAACGAGACTAAATTAGATCGAAAATTAGTGATGACACATTATAAAAGCTTTTATAGCGAAACAGGCTACGTGGCATTGCTATGACAAAATTATGAAGTTTCTTTAAAGAAGCAATCTGCTATTGTGATAACTTGTACGAAAAATGATTAAATTTTTTTTTTTTTCGTTTCTTAAACGAGCAAGTAATAAAATGTTTTATGGTAAGTATTTTGTGTTGATTTCTTTAAGAATTAGTTACTATTTAAGTAATTCATTATTAAAAACTATATTTTCATCATTTAAACTTTTTAACATTGTGAAAAATCTCCCGATTTCTTAAAATAATCTCCTGATTTTTGAGTGTCATAGGTTGGCAAGTATATAAATATATATATGTACACAGGTATTTTTTTGTTTTGGAAGGAGGAAGAATGACTTAACAACAATGAGAGGGTGAAAGGGGGGCAAAACATGGTTGAGAATCATTGGTCTAGAAGCTGTCCACTAATTTTTTCTTCTTCAGTTTTCATTGCCTTTGTGCTAGATGTAGCCTAGGACTACCCAGTAGAAGACACAATTTTCCTTGAAGCAAATAAGTCCCCTCCTCATCAAATTTCCAAATGGCACCTTTCAAAAGAACTTATAAAATATCAGCATAATAAGTTCCACTTTACTCTTTCTCTAAAAATCAGTATGTGCAATTCCACAAATATCAAGGGAGCGGGGGGGGGGGACTTTGAGGAACCCATTGAAAATATTTTGGAAGGTGTTAGTCAATGTTTCTATAGGCTAAACTACTGCTTTGTTTCTAGATCATAAGGTCTTCTCTCAGTCTTATTCTAAATATATTATTATAGTGCATATTGGTGATTATTTCCTTTCAAGAATTTGCTGCTCGTTAAAGAAATGCCTGGTCCACAGAATATGACACATCCTGCATTCTTTATTTTGTGGCTATGACAACAATCTTGTAGAAAAACAGAGCATTTTTAGCTTCTTAACAATCCTGTGGCATTTTGCTACACCAGTAGATAATTCATGAACAGACAACAGCTCATCTTACTTGTATAGCCAGTAAACAGATGAAAACTGTATATTGACTTTCTTGAGAACAGAAAAATATAATACAGAATACCTTTGTGATGGCATGCAGTGTAGTTCAGTCCCTGAAACTTCAGAACAGCTCTTGTATGTTAATTGAAACCAAATTCAGTCATTTAATGCCTCGAAGTATGCAAATATTATTAAATAAAACTAACTTTACCTTTACACCATTTTTTGTTCACTTTGTCCTTCAACACAATAATATACTTATTTTCTGTCTTAAAATCTTTATAATTACAATTTAATTTGATTACTACATAATTCTATAAAAAAGTTTTTTTTTTTTTACTTAATGTAATCAAACATGTACTACATTTAAATATAAAGAATTATAATAAACTTAATTAAATTAAATTTTAACAGTATAATGTAATAATTTAAAACAAGTGTGTAATATTATAACAACACAAAATTTAAGGATGTATTCATTTAACCGTTTGAGTCCGGTGAAGTGCTATCACGCTTCACTTGTCGTATGCCAAAAATACGGCACAGAGAGATAGCGCTTCTCTTGTTTTGTATTGAGAATGCGAAGACGCTGCTGTTAGTTAGTATACTTTACGCAATTATTGAAAGCAGTTGTAGTGATATCAATAGCAGTTTTCATTCTTTTTTATCACGTGTTATACTGATAATTACGAAATAACCCATGTCAAGTTCTGATTTCTTTGCAATGAATATGTTCTAGAAGTGTATGAGTATATAATGACCTTGAAGAGATAGTGGAAGTGACATCATCATTCTTCTAAAGATACGAGTTATTAGTGATAGCAGTGATGATGATGAAATACGCAGTACCTCCAGACAATATTATTGATGAGTTTTACCTGTGGATAAATTTTTCGTACAAATCGATACTTTTTCTGAAGTACCTGGACTAAAGCATGCCCCTCCTCCTGATATGAAACCAATTGAATATTTCAATAATTCTTTTTTCAAGTATACTAACCAACAGCAGCGTCTTCGCATTCTCGATACAAAACAAGTGAAGTGCTATCGCGCTGAGTCGTATTTTTGGCATACGACAAATGAAGCGCGCGCCGGACTCAAATAGTTAATGCACAGAGTAAAAGTATGTAGTATTTCTATTTTTGAATATATTACTAATGCTGAGTTCATTATTATTTGGTTAAAAGTGTACATGAAATAATTTTCATAATAGAAATTTCGTTCTTCTTGAGAACATTGGAATAAAAATATACTGAGTATATGTTGACAAGTTTTTACTCAGAATTTAAAGGTTACAGTACCAATATGATGAAAAAAGAAGCAATCTACATGTTAAAGAAAACAGTCTAATAAGTTTATCTATTGAAGATGTACGTGCATTAAAAAGAGGCTAATTAACCATTAAAAAAAGTTCTGAAACACATAAACGGTTATATAGTAAAAGCGAGTGATTTACAATTCCCTCAACATAAGCCCTTTTGTTAGTACAAAAGGTTTCTCTCCAAATTTGTACCAGTAATAGATCCTTACACGTAATTTAGATTTAGTCACAACTAGCCATTTTTCTTTGAGGAATTAACTGTTATGAATACACTGTTATTTTACATGCTACAGCAGTAAGTATGGCTCAATTACAGTAAAACTGAGAATCTGATTTTAAAAAAAAGGATCACACGTGAAATTTCAAATACTGATTGTAATATGTTTGGATGCATGTGGAAGGAACCTGAATTAACCCCTTAACTGCCGCGGGCGTATATATACGCCTTGCTCAGCCAATGCGTTAACTGCCCCAGGCGTATATATACGTCCTTCCAAACTGCTATCATTTGCTTTGCGCTGCTACACCTAAAATTATTCGCAAAGTTAACGCATCGGCTGCGCATCTGGGGCAGTTAACGCATCGGCTGAGCAAGGCGTATATATACGCCCGCGGCAGTTAAGGGGTTAAGGACTAATATCATGCCAATATAAAGTCAGCATATGCAATTAGATCATGTTCTTTACTTTTTTTTTGTGAATAACTCAATTATGTAAAAGTGTTTAATGGATTTTCATATTTGCAACATTTTACGATTTACAATTATTGTAAAATACTGCAGCTGCAAACTTGCTATTCAAAACATTCCAAGTGGAATACATTTCTTGGAAAAGCTTTCCGTTGCATTTCACACCCTGGGTACGGGCTTTAGGTCTTGCGATTCTTCTTTCCAGTTGGCTGATCTATGTTTAATATAGAATTAAATGGAATTTTTTCACTATTATTATACAGTGTTGCAGCTGAAAACCAAATTTCATGCTAATTCTGGGAAAAAAAAAGTTTCTGAGAAAAGTTGACAATTGTGTTTACAGTGGATAAATATGATATGGCTTTAAAATACAAAACTGGACGAGGTTCATTATATAATGATGTGCACTTTTTCCCTCTTTGTTATGAGCAAGATATACTGTGTAATGTCCTTATTTTTAATTTGGGAAAAGTAGTATTTTTCTATTAATTTAAATTTAACAGAAACATAGATAAAATCAGTATAACTTTGATGTAGCAGTTCTTACAAGTAATTTATATGCATTTCAAGTAAATAGCACTATGTATGTCTTGCAAAGAAATAAATTTAGAAGCAGCTTAACATACACAATATAAGATAGGCAAGAGTAAACTTTTTCAATAAGCGTGCCGTTTACAGAAGAAATAAAATATTATTTAAAAGTATTTAAAGTAATTTAATAGTCTCACAGTACCATAAATTTAACACCAGATGAATTTATAAATTAGTCTTTCCCAGCCCTTTTTTTACTTCAGCATCTTTAATAATCTGCTTTTCATCATTAAAATTTTCATTAAGAAAATTGCTTTATAATTAATTAATGTTTAAAATTTATTTCATTTAAATGATTTAACATAATTAATGAGATTAAGAAGAACCTAGAATAATTAGGTATATAATAAAATAATACTATGAAGGATTTAAATCCTTTTAAGGTTTCTGACACCCTTTTCAGACCTCACTAAATGCACTTCAATAACATCAGCATATATTTAAGCATATCTGTTTAGATATCGTCACAAAAGATTACAGCCTAGCTGACTCAGTGACAGTCACATAGCTGCACTGTTTGGATATACTGAGAAGCCATAGTAAGGGATGCTAAAATTTTTGGTAATTCAATTTATATACATTCAAAACTTAAAAGATGTGAATTCAAGAAGCCAAATAATAGAGTTTATTATTTTATTTATTTAGCCAAATAATAGAGTTTATTATTTTATTTATTTAGCCAAATAATAGAGTTTAGTTCCGAGACTCGTCATTAAGTTCAATTGACTTTACAATTTTAGACTTATAAATTTGTCTCACACTACTGAACCATGTTCTCTTCTTTCATTAAATAATTTTGCATATCTTTAAAATGCCCTAATTTTCACATCTAGGAGTATATGATCCACAGGCTGGGAATCACTTTATAGACATTACATACAACATTAGTAAAACTAGAAATACTTTGCAATGAGACTACAGTAAATAAACTCCAAATTACATACAATTATGCTTATTACATTATTATGTAAAGCCGAAAAATATGGCAATATAATTTTTAGAGACATTTCTGATCATATCATAATACTCAAAAAACAACTGCAAATGCGAGCTAAATCTATACCTTGCGAATTAGGTTCTGGCAAATTTTCACGGGGAATTAAGTGCATCACAGTAGTTCTTCCTAGAGGCAATTGTAGTGCTACAGAAAAATACACAAACGTAAGTTAGATATATAATTTGTATTGAAGAATAACTTAAATATTATGCATAACAATTTCTTAAATTTAAAATAATCTGAAATTAAAAACCAAAAATAATTTAAAAATAGTTTTCAAGTTAGGTGTAGGCAATGCACCACAGCAGCATAGTTGAGGGTTGTCCGATTTATACGGAAGATTATTTATGGAGAAATATGCTAATAACCATGCAAACAGCTATTTAATCACTGGCAAGTGAGTTCAGGATGTACTGTTAAAATCGGTAGTCCGAATTCTAAGCTCCTGGATAACTAATATAATTTTATGTTACTCAACATTGCTGCTCAAATTTTCTCTTTTACACTACACATGCCACAAATTATCTAATTCAAAACAGAAGATTTTGAACAACAGTAAAGTAAAAACATCACCAATTTTAAATCTTCTATAGATGACATGTCAAATTTGAATTTTATTAAAAAATAATCATTATTCTAAGAAAGCATTTATAGGAAACAAAATGTTTGTTTTAAATAACAATATGTTTTTGCAAAATCTTCTTTGACACAAAATGACAGTGAACAGTTTTGCTCCCACAGTTACTGATTTGGTAACTGTAGTTTAGGTCTGGCCAGGAAAATTTTGAAAATCAGTACCTCAGTAATCCCTAAGTTTCAAAACACGTACAAAGTGCAAATGGGCGTAACATGCTGAAACACAGAGCCCAAAAGACATCTAGTACTATGATCAAATGACAATCTTGGTTATGAGCATCACGACAAATTTGAAATTCAGATAAAAATTTCCCTGTTTGAGCAATGATTCAATAGAAAGTATTATTCGACTATTCCATGAAAATCCATATGACTTAAGTGATACAACAATTTTCACTACTCTGTTGCCTCTGAAGGATCAAATTTATTAGTTCTTACTTTTAAATGCACAAAAGAGATATACATAATAATGTTTTCAATACCTTTATTATTTTATTTAATGCTGCAATGTTGGTTGCACTGCCCATACTTTACCTATTAAGTTTTATTTATGTACGCCATACTAGCATAATGCATTAGCTATGTTTACATATTATGTATGTTATTGAAACTACATAACATACTAGCATTAGCTACTTACATTACATTTACGTATGTTATAGTAATACTGCATAACAGAGAGCCTTAGCTATCATCCATACATAATTTCCCTTACCCACTGCAACTTCTGAAGCATATTTACCAATGAATACGCAAGCAAAACTGTATAAGAAATATTTATGCCCCTCTGTGACAAATATAACATACTTTAATAAAACATATTTAAAAATAATTATAATTTGAGATAAAATTTTAAAAAATAATGTCTTTTGATATGCTTTTTGGATATCATCTGTATTTAAGTATATGGAATTCTGGATTTCCATATTCACTTAATGGAAGAATAATTAATTGTTAAATATCATGGAAAAATACAGAGTTTACAGCGTTTCTATGAAATGGATAAAACAAACTGAAATAATATACTCTGATTCCACAAATAAAAATAAAAGGAATACAATGTGCCTCTTACTGCCATCAATTCAGGCCTCTTATGGTAATTTGCTGCAATACAAGAGTAAACTAATCTAGCAGACAAGTCATTATGGAAGCCTTTCTACTGTATCTTAATGTTGCTACATAGAGACATATGGCTAATATGCTCACCGGACCTATATAGTTTCTAAAGATTATCAAAGAGGAAGCTTTTGTACATAATCCTTCAACCACTAATTACTGTATTTGCTGGAATATAAGACATACTTTTCCCCTTTGAAAATAGGTCTAAAAAATGGGATGCGTCTTATTTCCTCTATTCGGAGTTATGCGATTTTTTTCTTGCTTCGTCGTGGAGTGTGGGAATATTACTGTTACACAGAGTTTAGTGAATGCGCTTGCACTGTCATCAACAATCACAGCTGATTTCATTTAAACTTTCCAATTTTTGTGAACGACGTTTAAGTGTGTGAAATTTCTACTGCTCAATTTTCTTAAATTTGCTGGCAAGTTATGGCTCAAAAACAACATCAGCATTGCTATAACATAGCATGTACAAGCTATGCGTGATTGCGTATGCTAAATAACATGGAAATTTAAATAATTAAATTTTGCTTTTGGATTAAATTACTTAAGTAAAAGTTTTCCATTATATTAAAATACACTTGATTTGTATGCAAGTCAAATAACTGAAAAATATCCATATATTCTTCAGATACGTCAAAATATATTGTATTTATTGGATATTTTATTATCACATTCAAAATTTATAAAGTAATAACCAAACTTGCAATTAATATTTCTAAAAATCTTCCACTTCAGAGCAAGCATCAGACTACGTGAAATATATATACAAAGTATCATTTTATTTTATTCATAAAATGTTGAGTTATCACTGCTAACCATTGGCAATATTTAAAAAATTGCATTTTTCAGAAAACAAGTCTTCATAAAACAATTTTAGTGAAAAAAAAATTATAAAAATTAAAATTCCCCTGCTTTTTAAGTGACATCTAGCTTTTTCTCACATACATCACACTTTTTTCATGCACATATTTTTTTTTTTTTTTTGTTTTTTGTTTTTGCACAACTCGTGGAATGCCGCCAAGAGTCGTAATTTCATACTTTATCAAATTTTCAAAACCCCTGCTCAGTGTAAAACCCAGGACACATATCTAATTTTGAAAATACCGGAAGCAAATCCATATCTCCATCATTAAATAATACATTTGCTGCCCAAACAGTATAGTGGTTATTGACTCTGATAGTCATACCGAAGGGCACAGGTTCGAATTCAGAAGGCATGGATGTTTGTAAATGTACTCTTTGCAGCATGGGGTCACTCTAAATATATGGTGAGCCAAAAGTTTTCTCATGTGGTCTGGTGGTATGGAAAGAGAGGCGGGAGATCTTCGTATCTACCCTCGAGATGCTCTCCCTCAAAATTAGGGTGAAACTAGGCAAAACTGTACTGTTACCTATATGATGTTTAAGGCTCTTGCCAGTGACAGGCATAATCTTCTACTCCTTGCCAAGATGAATTTTGTGGGCTTGTTCCAATTCAAACAAACAAGATTAGTCACAAAAATAACAACCAATTCACTCCAAATATTAATGTTTGTAAGTTTATAAATGTTTCTTTTGGAACAACTAGCCATAAAATGGCCTTAAAACATTCATTAGCATTTTGAGTTTTGCATTTATGCACTTTTTTTAACAACTCTTGTTAACATAACTCCATATATATAGGTTTAATTGAATTTAAAATATATGCTGGTATATGAAAAGTGTTATGGTTGAATTTTTTTTTTTCAGCATTTGCATGCTGATTACTTGCATCAACTTGTTGATACAGGACACTGACAATATATCGGCTTTGAAGAAGAAGAGCTACAATGGAACAATGCAACTATTACAGCCTGCTACATCTCAACCAAGTTCCAACATTACTCCTAATTGCAATGCTGTGATAATTCTGTAGTTTATCAATAAAAGAATCAGTCAATTTAACTTTTCCTATCAATCCAGGAGTGGAACTTTTTACTTTTTACAGTTTATTACCAACTCCTTTCTGTGCATGCCCAATGCATTCCCATTTCTTGACAGAATACTTATTGTATATATCTTTCACAGTTAAAAACCTCTTAGAATCCCCATTTCCAAAACACTCAGTATACTTCAGCTTCCTTAATTTAGTAGATCATTCAAGTGGTAAGCACTAACTACGTGGGTATCCAAAGTTCATTATTTATAATTTGCAGAACACTTGTACTCAGCTTTACATTTTGTTTATTTACAAGTTTTCATTGCAGAACAATTATGCTCCACTTTGTGAATGGTACAAAATTATGATAGGATCTGCAAATCAAGCACTTCGTCTATGTTAATTGAAAAAGCAACAATTAATATCCTTCCCGTTGCTACGTTCCGTTTACAGATACATCCCACTCAATCAGATTTTTAGAAGAACACTTAACTTCACACATCTTTTCGATATCATCAGTAGTTTTCAGCATAGAATCATTTGACACAGAAGCAACATCACTAAAAAGGTTTTCATGAAGTCGTTTATACAGTACAAAGTCTGGAATCCGGACGCGTGTCCGCTATGCATGCGCGTAAAGCCAGTAAAGCGTTTACCCATGCACGCTTTTGATTGTGAAGAAAGTTACATTAAAAGAAATGTTTGATAAAGTAAAAAAATAAGTATTACGCTTTTTTTTGTTGTAAATTTTGATAACCTTTAGATCATAATTGCTCTTTATTTCATAAATTATGGTTTCATATTTTTAATTGTATAATTTCTGCATGCCAATCTTACTAGATTTAAATTGATGATCTATAATTCGGAAAAAACCCTAATCCAGAATCGCCAAAGTCCCGATGAGTCTGGATTACATACTTTGTACTGTACAATGTATTTTGTGAGAGCACTCGTAAATTTAACACTGGGCAAAATCTTTTCACTGCAGTATACCTTTTCTAATTATCCTCATACCAAACAGAAATCTGGTTTTAATATACATTACCCTCACTTTTTTTTAGAAGATGAAAATGTTTCTTAAAACTGCATTCTTTGCAAGTCAATGAAAAGTATGAAATTAAACTAAATCAAGACTTTTTTCACAACTGAAACCTGGCAGCAAAGTAAGGAAAAAATAGTCATTAAAATTAAAATATCAATAAAATGACTGTCAGTCATTTCATTACTTGCATCTAATCTGAGAGCTTAGTATTATTAGAGAGTGTGTTTGCTTCACATTTGTTAACTAACATTTTTTATGTACTTATTACGACAAAACTTCCTCTTTTTAGAACATTTAAATATCTATTTGGCCATTACGAATGTTAAGCAGATAAAATAAAACTTAGTTTTACACAAATTATAAAGAAATAGGTCAACAATTTACAAAATCCTCAAGCAAGAATGCAATCAACTTTGTAAACATCAGAACTTAAACATTAGCTTGTTGCCGAACTAATACGAAATTAAGGGGATAAAACTGTTGCCAATTTGATTCTAAAAATGTATTACAAAATATCTAAAATTAATATAAAGGTTTCTAATTTAAGAAATCCCTGATGAAAAATAAAGTTACTAAATAGATATGTCCATTTAAACACCTACTTCAGGTCCAGAATGCTTCTGTTTATGCAGTTACACATAAATGCTTATAACTTCAGTTCTAGTTAATCCAACAATAAGCAAAAAGTTATATATGATAGCTAAAGATGTACTACTCTATAAGCTAATGTAGTTAAAAAAAAATTGGAATCTTGACTGAAAATTATTTTTTGCACAAGGTTGGATACCTTATAGAGAATGCAAAGATTAGGCAAATTCTCCTTTAATACATGAGATATATCTCAAACTACCATTATTACTCATATATTACACAGAATTCACTCAGCTAACTATATGGATCGCACTACTTTCTGAAGTTACTCTGAGGCAACTCGAAACTAAATTGAATCACTGGCTGATGCAACCATATATATGTTTGCTAGTGTTCTGGAAGCTTTAGGGAAAATAAATAAATAAAAATCACTCCTACAGCTTCAAAAATGCATTTCCTCAGAACTTACTGAAAACCACTTTGTTGGTGAAAACTTGCCAACTTAAGCACATACAAATATAATATGCAGCTAAAGGTTTAATCACACAAAAATATACCTTACACTATTACATAAAATGCAACTAATAAATAAAACAATACAATCAAATGGACTAAAATACTCAAAGAAATTTATGACAGTATAAATGCTGTTTCATGCTTAATTTAAGAAAAGAAGATAAAAATTAAACTTACCACCAAGAGTCACATTTCCATGGAGAAATCTCCCTTGATATATTAGTCTTAAAATTTCTGCTTTTGAAACAGCTTCAGCAGCCCATTCTTTAAAAGAGAAAAGTCAATTTTTTATTGTGCGAGTCTGAATTAAAAAAAAAAAAAAAAAAAAAACTCTAACAGAATTAGAATGTCTATATTACATTAAAAGCTAATTAAAATTAAAAATAAGAAACCATTTTTCATTTTAATTAGTTTAACTTTATATGTTTCAATATCATTAAAATAACAAATAATGTTGGATTTTAATAGATTTAATTTAAATATTCAACAAGTTTGTATAGTTTCCAACATGTATATAAATGTAGTACAAAGTCCAAAATAGTCTAAAATTCACAACTTTCGCCCCATTTGACAATTTTTCATAATAAAACAAGTTGAGAGTCCTGATTCTTAATTTCACTTCAGCACTAAATAACATACCTCCATTTTGAATGAACAATTATTCATTAGATAAATCTGTATTGATCAATAATTTGGCTCCATAACTGCCTTTTTGCTTGGCATACGTCTCAAAATGAAACATTCTACATTGAAATACCATTGATTTTACACCTACTGAATAATTTATATCCCTGATGCCAAACTGGAGAATTTTTTTTTATTTAAATTCTTTTGCTTTTATCACTACGTAACTATCAACACAAAAAGTTTGAGAAATGAACGAGAGGATTGTAAGAATGAAAAATTAAAAATAAATGTAACATAACAGCAATGGAAACACAGAACTAGATTTCTATGCTAAAATATAGTTTTATATTCACCATGGATTCGTATCTATTGTCATTAATGAAAGAAAAAAAGAACTCAATGGTTATTTTATTAAAAAGTCCAATGAAGGATCCTAAGAAACATTCGTCTACAATAATCTCCTCAATATATGGATAAATACAAAAAAAAAAAAAAAAAAAAAAAAAAAAAAAATTTGGGAGGGGGGAGGGTACATGACAGGAAGTATTTTAAACAAATGAAGTAGGACACAGTACAGTCATTTCTCAAATTAAATCTTACAGTTACACATAATTACTACTCACAATTGAGAAAACTTTAACCTATTCGTCATCCATAATGCGTCTAGCACGTTCAAATGAAATTTCTGCAGGGCGGCCGTAATGCACTTGAAGCATTCTTCTACATTTTAAAACTTTTAAACGTTTAAAATGCTTTCTAAATGTTTACTTGTTTGAGTTTTTATTTTTGTTTGTTCTAATACCTCCTAGAGGGCAATACTAATCAGGCATTCTATTTCTAATTGAATTCCCCCTCAGTTTTATGAACATTTGCACCATTTTACATAAGATAGAAGACAGTGAGTGATCTTCAACGTCTACTCTGCAGAAAGAGAAAAAATGAGGTTGTGAATTGGAAAGACAAGAAGGACATATGTTTAATAAGTACAGTCCATAATAACTCTATGACTGATGTTGAAACACGGAAAAGAACTGTAAAAAACCAATAATTGTAAAAGATTACAACAACAAAATAGTAGGAGTGGACTGACTGCCTGGATCAGATGTTATCGAATTAATTCTGCTCTTAGAAATAAGCAGAGATATTATTACTTTTCCATTATGCTTTATTTCCTTATAATTTTATTTAATATTCATTTACATTCATCCACTACGAAAGTTATGATGTACAGAGAAAACCACATTACACGCTGCGAAAAACAAAGGGCCACTGGGAAGAAATTTTCGCGGACAGGAGAGGATGGCGAAAGGGTTATTTACAATCACACATTTTCAAAATGTCAGACACTGCACTTGGAGGGCAAGAGAATAACTGCAGTTCACCACCAGAGAGAATTATCCTAATAAAGAATTGCAATATGTTTACTGACATCAAGCTGTACAGAATGTAAAGATTGTAGAACTTAGCTTATTTTCAATTCAACTTTGTAAATCTACTGCAATAACATCCTGCCTGCAGTTTATTAATGCTTGCATTTTAAGTAGAATTTATATTTTTAAAACTGTTTTTTGGAAACCAAAAGCTTTAAATATTCTTAGAAAACGTTTCTTTTAACTAGTAAAACTTCTGTATGATAAAAAATGTTACGTAGAATTAAATAAATCTTCTGTAAAATATTTTTGAATGGAAAAGTAGCCATGTCAGGGACAAAAATCTAGATTTCAAATTTGGGTTTAAAAAGAAAATCCTCTCCATGGATGAAAGAAATTCTGTGCAAGGTGTATTAACAGGAGCTGGCCTTAAGAATGCTGTTAAAAAGAAATGAAATTAAGTTCATATGTTTTTGATCTAGCAAATGAAATTAAGTTCTGTTATCATAGTTTTGTAAAATTATTATAGTTTCTTAATATAAACATGAAAAAAATTTGATTGAAATAATTGAGTGAGCTCTAACATAACTTTTCAAGCTATTATGTAAAAGACACATTCAGGCAATTAATTATTTAGTGACTTCAAGAGAAAAATAATTGGTTAGAATGATGCAGTTAAAACATCAGCTTGTTTAAATACAGGATAAGATTAAGTTTTCTGTAGGTTAGAAAATGAAGAATGAATCATGCGCTTCATAGAATAATTTAGATTTAGAAGAAATTAATTCAAATGTTTGGGGCACAGAGATTTGATCTTTATTTGATTGCTGTATCCTAGTTTCCGTCTGCAGTGACATACCTTTGTTAGTTAAACTTTTCATGACTATAGCAAATGGAAATGAAGCAGACAGATAGAATGTTGAAAATAATAAGCATTATGCTCTTTAAAATTATTATAGTTTCTCAATATAAACATAATAAAATTTGATTGAAATAAAAAAATAGCTCAGCACATACCTGTGCTATTAAATAATGAAGAATTTGCATGTAGGTATGTTTGTATGTTCCTCGCACTGCAAAAAACGGCAGCACCTAGAATCCCCAAATTTTGAACACAGTCTTCCACTCAAACATGTGCACTTTGAAGCCAGGATTTCAAATTTGTTTTTGATTTAAAAATTTAATGAATTTTTAATTAAGAAACTCAGTGATTTGAAAGCAAACAGTGGTAACAGTGTTTGAAATAAAACTTTTTTATCTCCAGCATGAAAGACTGTTGCTAGTTCACAAAATGTAAGATAAATGTAAGAAGTCTTTGAATTTTATTCAATAAACTCCAAGATACAAAAGCACAGTGTTGCCATTGGCAGAAATAAAATACTTTAATATATTTCTATGCATTAGAGTGTTGCCTTAAATCTTAATCTAACTTTTAATCTGTCTGATATTCAGTAACAAACCATGTGATTTAAAAGCAACAAATATGCAGTTTTTATGAATATTTTCTTCTAATTTTTAATCTGACAGATTCACATAAAAGTGCATTTAAATCATGATACATCTAATTAGAAATATTTAATAATTTTATAAAATTACACTAGCTGAGCTCATTAAAATCTTTATATATATTTTCCTTTTTTGTGATAACTATTTTCCCTGGAAGCCGCTACTTTTGTAAAATATCTAATGGTATTAAGCATGAAATGATGTTTGCACAATAGTAGACATACCAATATTTTAAAAAATTTGAAATTTAACAGAAAAATTATGGTCGACTCACCAACAGGCCAATTGTCAAAAACATGTTGTGCAATGTCAGCAGCAGAGTCACTAGGACTGAATAAGAATTCTTTAGTTTTTCCACTGACAAGAATTAATCGAAGATTTATCTAGAAATCAAATATAAATATATTAATTTACACATATAATAAAAATAAAAAGAAGAGCATGCAAACAATCAAATATGTTAAAGGGGGAAAAAAAAGTTGACAACATTTACATGTAAAATTAATTAAAAATTAACCTAGACCGACTAAATTCAGTTGACTCGAAAATCTTTCGATACAGATTTTATAAAAAGAGAATATGAATATATGAATTTTTATATTTAACAATAAACTAGAAAATAAATCTTGTTGTTGAAGAACAACCTTTCAGTCAGTCTCCTTAAAATACATACATTTTTTTTTTTTTTTTTAAAAAGGGACTTAGAACGGAAGGGTTAGTTCACATTTCCCCTCATTTTTCAGGCATTTCCCCTTAAAACAGGAATTGAGGAGCGATGACATATTTGCGTTGACACTTGACTGAAAAAATGCAATTTGCAGCAAAAAAACTACCATTTTAAATAATTTGGAAAAAAGAAAAAAAGCCTTAAAGCAACTGTTCATGAAAAAAAGCTAAAATTTATAAGATAATAATATCACATGCATTTATAACGTTTAAAAAGTTAAGTATTAATTTTAAAGTAATAAATAAAATAACCTATAGTTTCGTTTTCTTAAAAGATGTGGTTCTTTCCATGCGCATTTATTATTAATGAGCAATTCCCTTGCCGGGACTCGAACCACGGATTTCTCAAATGCGCACTGATCCTGCTGACCACTACACCATGAAGACATGGTAAGGAGGAAGGAGAAATACCTTATATACTTCCCCTTTTAAAGGGCAACTGGGGATTATTGGACCTAATCACCAAATCATGGTGGTGGAGAATCATCCTCCTCCCTTTTTTTAGTTTGGGCACCACTGTTGAGACATTAGGCATTTTTTTAAAGCAGATGTGAAAAATGAACAATACCCTAGTCGGGATTCAAGCCTCATCTCTTGAATATGCGCCGACCGTGCTGACCATTACACCACGAAAGCATGCTAAGAAGGTGGGAGAAAAACCTCAAACTGTCTAACTTAATACTCCAGGGCTTAATTTCTAAAAGTATCGAAGCCCTATAGAAAGACCGTCAGGAAAGAGGAACAAAAATAAATAAAATAAATATTAATATAGTAAAATAATATTAATATACTAGAACAAAATATCTTTCTGTAAATTAAATTTAGAGTCCAATCTGAAAGTCTCTAAAATATAAATTTGTGAAGATCCTGAGGTGGCTGGAAGATCAGATACGAAATTCTTGCAGTCTTATGAAAATCTTTCATAAAAAGTAAATGGTGTTTAAGACACAATAACACGCCGAATAAATACTAATTCAGAAGTCAAACAACAAAAATCAGCGTTAATTTGCAAAATTTTCACAGGACTAGTTTCGATGGTTTTACCGAACCATCTTCAGCTGCAAAACCGCAAATGAACAAGATAGGAAATAATGTTTAGATAAGATAAGAAAGCCTGGACAAGAATAAGCAAGTGGCGCCATCTGTTGGCGAAACCAGAACTAAAAACATAATTTCTCTAAAAAGCCGAAGGCAAATTTGGATTGGAATTAGGATCGTTAACTAGAACAGAAAGATTTTATGAATGTGAAATGCCTCTAGAAAATCCAGTTCTCCAATGGAAGATGTTTTTTGAATAATTTTGGCAGCAGAAAAATTGAAAGTGTGATTTTCGGACCAACAATGTTGAGCAAACAGAAGACTTCTGTGTTTCCTTTTTTCTAACATATGCTTCATGTTCTTTGACACGAAATTTTAAGGCTCTCTTAGTTTGGCCAATGTAAATTAAACCGCACTGGCAAGGAATCCTATAAATACCCCAGGATTCATATCCGGAATGGGGTCCTTGAGTATAGAAGTTGGAATTTTATTGATGGGAGAGTAAAACAACCCGAAAGTTAAATTTCTGCAAAATATGTGCAACTTTATAGCTAATTGATGGAAAGAAGGAATGACAACAGAATTTTTATAATCTCCTAAAATAAGAGTGTGGCTTTTGGTGTGTTGAGATGAGAATTTTTTAAAACTGCTTGATTAATAATGTTGGGTGAAAAGCCCCTGTCAATAGCTATTGCTTTTAAAATAATTTAGTTCTTCATCAAGGGCCAGTTTGGGAGGAGCAAACTTGAAGAGCACGGAAAACATAGGAATAAAATGAAGCTAACTTTTGTTTAGTCGGATGACATGATTTAAAGTGTGGTGGAAGGCAAACCGATGAAGGTTTACGGTAAACTGTAGTACTGAAGTTGGATGTGTTACGTGTGACCAGAATGTCGAGAAACGGAAGAGAATTGCAAGTCTCAAGTTCAAAAGTGAACTGAATAGCAGGATCAATAGAAATTCATTGTTGAAAGAACTCTATTTAAAAATCATCTTTATTACCTTCAAACAGGGTAAAAGTATCGTCTAGTAGCGGAACCATGCCGGGAAGTTTTAAAGTTTCAAACAATTTTGATTCATAATAATGCAATGTAGATATCAGCCAGGATGGGACTGAGGGGCTTCCATGGCTAATCCCTCAGTTTGCTTTGTAATATTTATTTTGGAAAACAAAATGTGTTTTGTTTTCAAACAGAGTTGAGTGATAGAAATTAGCCATCAATTTCGATTTGCAAGAGAAATGAAATTCGCAAGTCTGGTTTCTAGACTCTTAATGCACCCTCCACTGGGACATTGGTGAATAATTGATTTTACATCAAAAGAAACCATGAGTAAATTACGAGGAGAATGTTTTTAACCTTTTTTACAAACTCTATTGAATTTTTTTATGGTGTAAAATGTTATTGTCTAATAGAGTGGAAATCTAGAAACTAAATATTTAGCTAATGGGCAGTACGAGGCCGTACCTAATAATAGGGCAAAGGGACACTTTTACTTTATCAGGCACAATTCGCAACAGATGGGATAAGCGAATGTTTTAGTTGCTTGAAATGATTGCGAAGATTTGATCGCAGTTTTTATTTGGATAAGTCCGAAGGTGAAGGATCTTTAGGGATCGGATTATATGGTCCTTCGTTTAAGAGTTTAGTGACACCATCGATGTAAGTGTTCTTATCCCTGACGACTATCTGGCCACCTTTGTCGGCCTTTGAAATGACAATATCCGGGTTAGAATGAATCTCGCGCATTGTAGCTCTTTCTCCTCGCAGTTAGATTTGTTCAAAGGTTTTTATTGAATTTCACATTATGAGCGATAAGATGCCTAATCATTTCTTTCTGTGAATCTGAAACTTTACTGAACTTGAAAGCTTTTTTGATAGGAGCCAAATCTTGGAATCGAGGGTTTACAGGTTTGTGAGAAGTTAAATTATTTTTAGAATTCTCTCTTGTTTTCTGAAAGACCTAACATTAGAAATATTAACTATTGGCTTGATGTTTACAATGGGAAGATTTTTTGAACTACTTGAACTGGAAGACTGTAAAAGAGTTTTTCGAATTTAACTGCAAGGGTGTTTTTTATGCGGTTAACTGCATTCTTCCGTTCTAGACCAGACTTTTGTTCAAGGGCAGTGAATTTTGGATATGTTTAGCGAGTTCCAGATGAAGCGTTATAGAGTTATGTTCATTTTGGACAATTGTTGACGTGTATCCCTTATCACAGACCGAAGTAAGGCAAGTTTGCAATTTAACAGAATTCTTGAAACGCGCTCGAAGGTTTTGATTAGATTTGATTGAATAATTGGGGATCAATTTTTTACATTTACATTTAGTAAAAGTCAGATGATTCAGGAATTTTTGCCGTTCAGGCGTAAATTTAGTGAAACGATTAACGGATGAAGCATGATAAACATGCAGAAAATCAAACTAAATTAACTGAGCAATAATAAAGTACACACAAATAGCAAAAAATCCCTCACTGAAATGATAGAAACAAAATTTTTGTAAGCAAAATGCATGAAGAGAAGAGTTTAGATTTAATACGCAGATATTTTATCGAAATCCATTGAGGAATAAATTTCCATGAGGTTTTGCAGCACAGAAACAAGCTTGACTGACGTGAAGATATGATTTATTTGTAACATATAAATTAAAAAAAGAAGGCCCCTTTAAACGTAATATAAAATCTGAAAATTTTCAGAATTTTTCTTTTCTTCTTTTTTCCTCCTACATATTGAAGAGGTGGCAGTAATAGATTCGAAATTGACAACAGTAGTAATTCCACTCCATTACCTAGACGTTAGAATGTTTGGACTTGCAGATAAACAGGCACATTTATTTGAATATCGCAGATATTTTATCGAAATCCAATTGAGGAATAAATTTCCATTGAGGTTTGCAGCACAGAAACAAGCTTGACTGACGTGAAGATATGATTTATTTTGTTGTAAATAACTTGATATTATATGACAACTTGATTAGGAAGGCGCCCCATTCACTTTTTAGTTATAGCTGAGAAAACTGCTGAGTTGGTAACTGGAAATAGAGTTGTAATAGAAGCACGACCAGCTTGAAAAACATCATTTATTTCTGGATGACAAATTTCTTAGCAAGTATCTTCTTAATTGGTAGAACATCAGAAATGCTAAACGCGCCCCACAGTTTTAAATACGCTAATACATCTTACATAAGGAAGAATAGCCAGCAAGGGGTTAAGCGACACGTTGGCAAGAGGACGGCGAAGTGGTGAAACAGGATGCGTAGTTAGTTGCGGTACTATTTATAAGCTTGGGAAGTCTTTGTTTTAATTCTGAGCAGCGATGGGGCAAAAGATTTCGCGGTGCTGTTACTGAACGGAAAGTGCGACGTAACATATTGCAGTGTGAGGCCTTGAATAGCAATGCAATCAAAATTAAGAATTTAAAGGACCGTTCTAATTAAGTTTAATATGGTAATAAATTTTTTCTTCCTATTTGGTATAATATACATATACACTGTTGGCCACCGTAAATGCAACCCCCCCAAAGGAAGCATGCAAATAACATGAAATTTACAACATGCATTAGCGGAGGTGAGATATGCAAATGATTAGAATTTCAGCGCATACGCATATCACGCGCGC